CTTCAACAAATGGTGCTGGGAGAACTGGAAATCCATATGCAACAAAATGAAATTAAATCCCTTTCTCTCACCATGCACAAAAGTTAACTCAAAATGGATCAAGGAGCTAGGAATCAAACCAGAAACTCTGCGTCTAAGAGAAGAAAAAGTTGGCTCTAATCTCCATCTCGTGGGGTCGGGCTCCAAATTCCTTAATAGGATACCTATAGCACAAGAGTTAAAATCAAGAATCAACAAATGGGATGTATTCAAATTAAAAAGTTTTTTCTCAGCAAGAGAATCAATAAGAGAGGTAAATAGGGAGCCTACATCCTGGGAACAAATTTTTATCCCTCACACTTCAGATAGAGCCCTAATCTCCAGAGTATACAAAGAACTCAAAAAATTAAACAATAAGAAAACAAATAACCCAATCAACAAATGGGCCTAGGATCTGAACAGACACTTCTCAGAGGAGGACATACAATCAATCAACAAATACACGAAAAAATGCTCACCATCTCTAGCAATCACAGAAATGCAAATTAAAACCACTCTAAGATACCATCTCACTCCAGTAAGAATGGCAGCCATTATGAAGTCAAACAACAACAAATGCTGGCGAGGATGTGGGGAAAATGGTACACTTGTACATTGCTGGTGGGACTGCAAATTGGTGTGGCCAATTTGGAAAGCAGTATGGAGATTCCTGGGAAAGCTGTGAATGGAACCACCATTCGACCCAGCTATTTCCCTTCTCTGACTATTCCCAAAAGACCTAAAAAGAGCATACTACAGGGATACAGCTACAACGATGTTCATAGCAGCACAATTCACAATAACTAGACTGTGGAATCAACCTAGATGCCCTTCAATAGATGAATGGATAAAAAAAATGTGGCATTTATACACAATGGACTATTTCTCAGCACTAAAAAATAACAAAATCATGGCATTTTCAGGAAATGGATAGCATTGGAGCAGATTATGCTAAGTGAAGTTAGCCAATCCCTAAAAAACAAAGGCCGAATGTCTTCTTTGATATAAGGGGGGGGGGGGGCGACTCAAAACAGAGCAGGGAGGAAGAGCATGAGAAGAAGATTATCATTAAACAGGGACAAGAGGTGGGAGGGAATGGGAGAGAGAAGGGGAATTGCACGGAAGATGGAAGGAGACCTACATTGCTATACAAAATTACATATAAGATAGTGTGAAGAAGAAGGGAAAAAAGAGAGGGAAATGTGTTACAGTAGATGGGGTAGAGAGAGGTGATGGGAGGGGAGGAGAGGGGAGGGAGAGGATAGGAAGGGGATAGGAAGGGCAGCAGAATACAACAGACACTAGTATGGCAGTATGTATAAACGTGGCTGTATAACCAATGTGATCCTGCAATCTGTACACATGGGAAAAATAAGAATTCATACCCCATAAAAAAAAGAAAAAAAAAGAATTACTTTTTTAAAAGAGTTTAAAATAAGATAATAAAACAATATCATGAGGTGAGCGTTTGCTCACCTAAAGAGAAACTGTTGCTGAATTAATTTATAATTAAACACTTCAAGAAACAAAGCAGATGGCTAAAAATAAACTTATTGATGGGACAGATGCATGTGTACATAAATTAATAGAAAGGGGAAAAAACAGAAAAATACTTTACGAGGACCTAATGAGAGGCTTAGGAGAGCAACTAGAGACAGAATTAGGAACTAAAAATATTCTCCCTCATAGTGCATGAGTGCATTAGGATGTAGCAGCTTCTGCAGGAAAGGTACAAAGCCTCACCCAGGATCAATTTCCCCTAACTCCACAGATTAAAGCAAGTGGAGACTTTCTCTCTCTTCTTTCCTCCGCCACACTCTCCCACCATGATGTTCTGCCTCACCTCAAGCCCCAGGGAATAAAGCTGAAACCATGAGCTCTCAAATAAACTTTTCCTCCTCTATAGCTGTTCTGAATGGGCCTTTTAGTCACAGCAGTGAAAGAGCTGACTAAAACAGTGATCAATTAAGACATTACAGATATTAAAAAACTAATATGGTAATATTATGAACAACTCTATTACCATAAATTAGGCAATTTACATGGATAGAACAAATTCATTGAACGTGGAACAAATTCAAACTGTAAAGCCTCATTAAAGCAAGGAAGAGAACCTAAAACTATACTGTACTGTAACAAAGAAACAGAATGTTGTTATGGACTGAAGTATGTCTGCCCCCTCCCTAATTCATGTTGAAGTTCTAATCTCCAGTAATTCAAAATGTTACTATATTTGGAGATAGGATCTCTGAAGATGTAACTAAGTGAAAATAAGGTCCTTAAAGGAAGATAACAAGAATCAGACATACATAAGTGAAAGATAATGTGAAGTCAGAAGGAAGGCAACCTCTACAAGCCACAGACAGGGCCTCAGGAGAAACCAACCCTTATGACACCTTAACTTCCAGCCTCCAGAACTGTCAGAAAATAAATTTCTGTTGTTCAAGCCACCTAGTCTGGGATCTTTTTCTATGAAAACCCCAGAAATCTAAAACTATGTATTTTAAAACATCACAAGCAAATAAATTCCAGGCCCAGATGGCTTAAATGAATTCTACCAAACATATGAAGAAGCAATAATATCGATTTTATGTAAAATCTTCCAGAACATAGAGAGTAGAGAATACTTCCTATCTGAATATGTAGGGTCGGCAATAAAACCTGACACTAAAACCAGGGAAATATCACACACACACACACACACACACACACACACACACACAAAACAACAAATGAATATCCTCAGGAAAATACTAGCAAATCAAATAGCATAAAAAACAATAATACACCAAGACCTAATTGGACCTCTCCTAGGAAAGTAAAACAGGCTCAACATTTTAAAAATCAAATAGGTAACTCATTCTGAAAAATTACATGATCATCTCAATTCATATAACAAAATTCAAAAGCCATTCATGATAACTCTTCAGCAAACTTGAATTAGAAGGCACTTCCTCAACCTAATAAATGGCTTTAACATTGTAACAAAGTTCCAAGCTAGTACATTAGGTCAAGTAAAAGATGTGATAGGTAAACACACAGGGAAAGGTAAAAAAATAAAACTGTCTGACAACATGAATATTTACATTGAAAAGAGCTTCTCAAATTAATAAGTTCAGGAAGGTTTTTGAAAGATACAAGGACAGCCAGGCATGATGGCACATGCTTCTAATCCCAGAGGCTCAGAAGGCTGAGACAGGAGGATCCTGAGTTCAAGGCCAGCCCCAGCAACTTAGCAAGTCACTAAGTAACTCAGTGAGACCCTGTGTCTACATAAAATACAAAACAGGGCTAAGGATGTGGCTCAGTGGTTGAGTGCCCCTGAGTTCATTTCCTGGTATCAAAAAAATAAATAAATAAATAAGACACAAGGACAATATACAAAAATCAATTATATGTTTACATATTAACAACAATGGAGTTAAAATATTTTCATAAGTTCCATTTTTATAAAATATCACAAAAACATACTTGATACAAATCAAGAATTTGATTCAAATCCAAATGCAGGATTCTTCTTTTTTGATATGAACATTTAATATAATAAATTAATTAAACATTTGTTTTCTTTTGTAAATTATTAAAGGGAAAAAGTTGGAGAAGACAGAAAAAAAGAAAAACATAAAGATGTTATATCCACTTTTAGGGAAGGAATAGGACTACCCTATGTGTAACTGAAAATGGTTTCCATCATGCCACAAACTCACCAATATTGACTATAATACTTTTTAAACAATTTAATCAGTGTATATTGTTATCTCATTGTGATTTGATTTTTCATTATCTGATTCAAACTTAAGTTGAAACACATTTTTATACTTCTTCTGTGAAGTACCTGTTAATGGCTTTTGATCATTTTTCTATTTGGTTCTTTTATTTTAACAAAATGCAGTTTTATATTTTCTGGGTATTATTATTTTGCTATTATAGACTTAAATAACAGAACCCAAGAGGAGTCTAACTTTAGTCCTAAACTGAAACTGAAAAGGAGAGTATTGAGAAAGGATTGTCTTTCCCTGAGAAATGTACTACTCTAACAGCTAGGTCATAGTACTCACTATTGAAAATAAACAAATTTCATATAGCACCAACATTATTTGTTGCTCAAAGACCATCACAAAGTGAAACAAAAACAAACCATCTAGTCATCATGTCTGAACATCGGCAGAACTAAGAACAACTCCAAAAATACTGACTGTGAGTTACTAGTTCTTCTATGGCTCAGAACATAACCCCTTTTCCTTTAAAACCCATCTGCTTGGCTAGGAATTGATCTGAGAGCTCAGGATTTCCTGTTGTTGCTGCAGTGGTAGCAATGTAAATAAAGCTTCCTTCTTTTTTTCGACTCAAGCTAATAATACTCCCAAAGATGTGACTCCATGGAAGTTTTAATATAACATCTACATGTCCAACAAGATCACATATACACATTATGGTACAGTCATACAATTGAGCATTACATTTAGCTTTTCAAAGTTATAGGGTAAATGTACATTTGTTAAAAAGACATTTATTAAGGAATGTGTTCTTATTTTCAAAATGTATCTAGATTAAAAATGCCATTTCTGCCTAACATGTACAAACCTAGTATGAGCATCACTACCTACATCCAAGTTGAAAAAAATACTAAGCTATGATTTTGTTGAACACATTAGAGAGCTGAGATTAGAAGGTAACCAAATAGTCTGAAATCTAAGGTAGGAACAGGTCCATTTAAAGAGTGACAGCACATAACACTGGCTCACTTGTAGTCAATGACAGAAAGAGATGTCAGGAACAGCACAAGGGCTAAAAAAGTATTTAGACATAAGCAACATATTGCTAAAAGAAAATGTAGGTTAGTACAACAGTACATAACCCCAAGAAGCTAAAGACACAAAGAAAGTTGACACATACTCACAGACACAATCTCACAGACCTCCAATTGGTCTGAAGTAGAGCCCCTTCCAGAGCTTACTACTACAAATAGTATTACATCATACCAGCAAATTCAGGAGAGTCAGTCTTTGATGTCCCTGCAGACTCTTCATCATCACTGTTCCACCTGTCTCTTTTCAAGGCGGCACTGGCATTCCACACATTTTGATCACTCTCACTAGAAAAAAAAACGTGTATGTGGTTCAAAGAATATATACACACATTATGTCTAATATATGTATCTCTAATATCTATATTCATTATTCAATAAAGAGTCACATCTATTTCAGTTCAACCACCTACTCCATTGTCATCAACTGGACTGATGCCTTCTGAGATAATTTTAAAATTCTATGTCTGATTACAAACTTCATCTCCTATCACTTTTACCTGGCTTGCAAACGAATCATCTTGTCTCAATCTATATCTACTCACCTTCTCTCCTCCTTACCTTGGCAGTGAAAGAGAAATACTGGAGTCACTGGGATTTCTGACACTAGCAAAGAGCCACTTGGAAAACACTGGTATGCCTCTGGTCAATTTCCTCTAAAATTTGTCCACTGCAGCTATCTCCAAGCCTCTACCCTCATATGGTCCTTATCTTAATCCTCTGCCTTAGTAAAAAAGTAGTCCCTCCTAGACAATGCAAGACAAAATTTACTATTTTAAAACACACACTCAAATGCATCAATATTCTTCATTACTCTTTACTTTTTCCCTGTTTAGAATTAATCCTTCCACTTTCTTAATCCCACACATTTGAAAAAATTTTTCTTACAACTCATCTTTTCTTATTATCTATAGATTATTTCACATAAAAAATTCAACTTTCTCTCATCTTAAAAATGGGGAACTATTGGGAAATGAAATCTACCAAATTATGCTACATTTATGAATAAACATACCACAATGAGTCCCATGTATATGTGTACAAACAAAATTATAATGAAATAATGATGATAATAATAAGGAGGAGTGCTGGGAGCCATTAGCCAAGTGGGTATGACAATTTCCTTGCCAGCGTACCCCATGTTGCAGTAACATTGAAAGTAGGTGACCTTGCTCAAGGACCAGGGCGGATTAGGGTGTTCCCGGTTTAAGATAATCGTGTTTAGGGCGTTCCCAGTTTAGGTTCCAGGTTTAAGGTTTAAGATTATTCCTGCTGGGAATAGGGCGTATCCTGCTGCCTGAGTTCCCCTTGAGTTCTCACGGGATTCAGACAGTATTTTTTGGGAGACAGAAGCCCAGCGGATGTGATTTGGGCAGAGAACGTGGATTTGGGCAGAGAACGTGGATTTCCCCAGAACGTGATTGTAGACGGCTGGTGTGAGTTCGGGAATAAAGAGTTGCTGTTTGAATCTACAAGCTGTGTAGTGGCTCGTGATTGTGTGCCCAGCCAGACTGCGGCAGAGGAGGATCAGTAGAGTAAGCTTACCAGGGGAAGAAAAAGGTGAGGGACAGAAAGGCACTGGGGAATAAGACTGATCAAATTATGTACATGTATGAATATAATATAATGAATCCCCTATTATGTATAATTATAACATACCAATAAATACAGGAAACCCTTTAAACTACCTCTGTCATGCTAATAATTGCTAAAAGATTTTTTAAACACTAACCATATTCACTTTCTGTTTCTTTTCCAACCTCTCACTATGCAATTTACTCACCTCTTCTATCTGCTAGGCTCTTGTACTTTTATTTCAACTTCACTTAGCAAAAATCTCCTAATTTGATTTCTGGATCTAATAACCAATGTCTAGATAAAATTATTCCTAAAACACAAATTTAATTATAACTGCAAGTCAACTTTAGAATAAATAAAGGCTCCCTGTTGGACACTTTAAGGATGCTGGCAAACAAGCCCCTGCCTACTTTTTCATCTCATCTCTACTAATTTCCTACATGCACTTTATGCAAAAATAATTACCTTTTTATTTTTATTCTGTGAATAATCTTACATTTCTTTCTCTTTTCTCCTCACTATTATTTGACTACTGCAATCATCTACTTGACATTCATTTCCTACCACTTTTATCCTGCCTTTGTTAACAGAAATCCTAGTTCTAGAAATATAGACAGACCCTACCTATGCTTCATTTTCAAGTCAATAAACTAATAAAATGTATACTTGGCTTTACTTATATTGAGTTCCTTCACACAACATGCCCAAATGATATCTTCTCCAATTCCTATCACCTTTGACACTTATTTCTCACCACCAATGAGATATTTCCACAAGTCCTTACCTTTGCTCAAACTTCTTCCCTCAGCCTAAAATTTTCTTCCCTCCCTTTTCATCTGCTAGGTTTCTATTTATTTAAATTCTAAACCCAACCAAAATATCTTTACATCAAAAAAGGCTGTGATAAACTTCTCTGGCATATATTCTCTGTCTTCTATACCCAACATCTTTGGATTTTGATTCTATAACAATGCTTATACCATTGTATTTAAATTTCTCTTACATATCTGTTTCCCAATTAAATTGTGATTCAAAGAGCAAACTGTGATATTTTGTATTTGAGTACAGTGCTTAGTATATAATCTCAAAATGCCTTGGAATTACTATTATTTGTTCATTTAATGAGCTTCTTAAAGGGCAACCTATATATATATATATATATATATATATATATATATATATATATATATACACACACACATACAGATATATGTATACATATATGTATGTATATAAACACACATACACACAATATAAACAATATGCACATTATTATGCAGTACTATTTCAGTGACTATAGCTGTTACTAATAAATTTCTAAGGAAACATGACTTTACAAAATGTTTCCTTATTAATCGCTTTTTTACATGTAATGCCTAAATTTGAACATTTTATAAACATAACAACTATTGTTTCTTTCATTTTCCTTATAAAAATTTGCTTTCTTGTTTCTTCAAATTTTTATTTCATATATAGACCAGAGAATTCACCACATTAACAGTTTTATTGTTTTTAGTACATAATTTTCTTTCTGGAAAGACTGAATTCCTAGTAAAATTTAAAGCTATCCTGAGTTTTATGCTACCTTCAGTACACTGTCCCCTCTAACAGCTCCAGGCACATTTCCAAAGGCTTGGAGGCTGTGTAACTATTGAAAAGATAGAGAAGTTGAATCTTTGATAATATCTTTTCCTTGTGTTAATATTGTATTTATGAGATCCTAAATGCAACATATTTCCAAGAAAACTAAATCAGCCTTACAAAGAAATGTAAATAACCCAACTTTTGAGGGCCATTATTCACTGTTCCCATTCAGATGAAGGGATATGAATAAAGTATGAATATGAATAGGATAAACAAAATTCACTAAATAAGTACATTAGTTTTACCTTTCTGAAGGCTCTTGAAAAAGATCCTCAGCAGCACTACTTCTGAGTGAGAATTTCTTAGAAGGTTTCATCTTCTCTGAGTTAACTTTATTTTGTAAAACCTATAGGCATGAGAAAGAAAACAAACCTTGTGATTTTAAGAAACATAGTTAAATGAAATATGATTTCTATAGCTTCTTAAGATAAGATTTTCCATGATGGAATTAAAACATAATAATGATGTTATTTATACTCCTAGAAAATCTCTTGAAATGTATATCTACCTAGTTAATATTTTCCAATGGGTCAAAACAAAGTATAGAGTACTTTATGTAAATACAAGTGATTCATATTGAATTACTCATTAATAAAAAAAACTTAATTTGAAACAGATTTCTTTTTATTGCAGCCCAGAATAGATTACTATAAGTTCTTATGACATTTAATTTACTGTGAAGATAAAATCCTTAACACTAGATTTATCTTTACTTCAGTATTTGCAACATCTAATCCAGTAATTCTACATATGTCCCTCCCATGAGATTTTGTAATATCCAATGGAAAGATTTTAGTCCTCTTTGACTAAACATTCTCCATAATACCTGGCTCTATGGTAAACTACATCAAATTTAATTAGGAAGAAAATCACATTAAAATAAATATTCAGAGACTGGGCAACTTGGAAGCCTGAAGCAGGATAATCACAAGTTCAAGACCAGCCTCAGCAACTTAGTGAGACCTTGTCTCAAAAATAAAATATAAAAGGGCTGGGGTTCAGTAGTAAAGCACCCATGAGTTAAATTAAAATAAAAACAAATAAATTATTTTAAAAATAGAGATTCAGTAATTAGCATTTTAGGCCTTGACTCTGCCTCATTTCTTTTTTTTTAATTTTTTTGTACTTGTATATGGACAGAATGTCTTTGTTTTATTTGTTTATTTTTATGCAGTGCTAAGGATGTAATCCAGTGTCTCAAATGCCCTACCCCTCAGCTATAGCCCCAGCCCTTGCTTCATTTCTTAATTTTTTTGTTTTAATTTTATTTATTTTTTATTAAATTATTATTTATTCTAATTTGTTATACATGATGGCAGAATGCAATTCATTTCATATTACACATATAGGGCACAATTTCTCAAGTCACTGATTGTACACAAAGTATTTTCACAACATTCGTGTCTTCATACATTTACTTAGGGTAATGATGTCTAACTCATTCTACCATCATCCCTACCCCCTCCTTTTCCCTCCCTAAAGCTCAAAATTTATTAATTTGACAATTCTTTTGGGGGGGGCCCAGTATGTACAGATACTATTATAAGTGTTAGAACAAAACAGTGAACAAGAAAAACATGTCCTGATAGGACAAATGGTGAACAAGAGAAGCATATGTTCTGACATTATGAAGGATATATTCTCATGGACAGATACAAAACAAGTAAGCATAAAAATAATTGTAGCCAATGTTGTGTTAATATAGTAACAGAGTATGGTAACAGGTAACTGTTGTATATATAAAAAATGAAAAAGAAGAGACTGAACACAGGAACAAGAAAGTACTCTGAGGAAAAACATGCACATATGCACATACACAAATACCTCTGGCTTCTGCCTAATTTTCTACTCTTTAATTCATGCCTATTTCTCATACAATATCTCCAGTTACAATCTGGGTTTTCTTTTCATCTTTTTGTAAATATCTTTCATAATTTTTATTTGTAAACTTTATTAATTTTTTCCTCTCCTGATAGTGTGTGTTGTATGTATGTGTCCTAATCCTAGAAGACATTAATACAGTCATCATTCCAGAACACTGACCCCCAAAACAATTATTTTTAAAAATAAGACATTAATACATGTAAACAACCACCTGGCACTTTTATCAAATATATTAATTTTGTTGAACAGGTTAAAATATATAAATTGAGTTTTCATCTTAACATGAAGAAACATTTCCTGAAATATAAATATATATTTTAGCAATAACATGACCATTATAGATTTATTAAATTCTAATAGACTGAGTAATTGCCAGTTTGAATAATACATAAAATACAAATTTTTAAAAACGCTTCCTTAGCTAATTAAGAAAAATATTATTCTACTATATATTTTTCTAAGTTTTGTTTTTCACATTTGGGGATTTAATCCACCTTGAATAAATTTCAGGGTACAGTATAATTTTCCCACCCTGCTAAATCACCAATAGTTATCTTCCATTCACCTGGACATTCACAAGATCTGAAAGTCCACTCAAAGTACCAGGGGATCTTTGCAGGGCACAGGAAAGGAACCATGGACAGTCTTAGGCAGAAGCATCAAATGTCCTAAGAGTAATCTAGTTTCATTTTGGTGTCAGACAGTGAGATTACATGGATGAATACAAGAGTCACCTTGGCTTAGAAGCCTCATGTTACAAAGAAACCAGTATTACCTGCCACCCACATTCAGGCAAGAACCCATCTGTACTTTCAAGAAGACATTTATCATCCCTTGTCACAATCCTTCCAGTACAAGAGTCATTTTGCCATAACTAATACTGCCTGGCAACACAGTTGATATTCTATTTTCATCTGGTTCTAAGGAAATGGGGGGTTATAAAACTAGCACAAAATTATTTTCTCAAAAAGACAAAAAAAATGTTTTGTTAACTTTTACTTTCAGATGACAATAAGTTTTATTTTCCCTGCTGAAATAATAAATTATACCCAGTACCATTAATTTAGCAAACCGTCCTATCAAGCTTACTTCAAAAACAGAAGAAAAGAAAGTCAGACTAAGTTAAGCTGGACTGAAGGTACAAAACCACCTGGTCAATGATAAAGGCTCCAGTTTTTTCAATCTACTGGCAGAGAATTGTGGTGGCAATCATTTTTGCAAAGTTCATGTCTAAGCTAACAGCTTAAGAAACAATTAAGTCTCTACACCTACATCTACCCTAGAGATACCAGTTTACAGCATCTTAGAGAACGGTTTTAAAGTGGGGACCAGCAGAGTAAACTCTGTAGATGGAAATGCCCTGCCTCCCACCCAAAATGGGAGTAGGGTGGAGTGGAACAGCGTGCACAACACTTTCACAGAGCAGCATTAAAAGGAGTTTTCTTCAGAGTTCCAAAAAGCCTCACTCTTTCAAATCCCTACTTTGGTCATCTTCAACATCAGAGTGACAAAAAAATTAAGAAATCATTCTGGTGCCGGGTGTGGTGGTGCACTCATGTAATCTAAGCAGCTCAGGAGGCTGAGGCAGGAGAATCTCAAGTTCAAAGCCAGCCTCAAAAACTTATCAAGGCCCTATGCAACTCAATGCTCAGCAAGACCCTGTTTCTAAATATAATACAAAAAGGGCCAGGGATGTGGCTCAGTGGTTAAGTGCCCTTGAGTTCAATCCCCAGTACCGAGAGAGAGAGAGAGAGAGAGAGAGAGAGAGAGAGAGAGAGAGAGAGAGAGAGATATCATTGTGGTGAGAACAATAAAATAGATATCAATTCCCTAGAGAGTGAAGTCAATGATTTCATTATAAGCTACCATCAATTAGCTGACAGTTATCTCCTTTTAGATTTTACCTTTGATCTAGTTGTCTTTTTCTTACTTGATGAAGGCAAACTCTTACCGAAATTCATTTGTTCTGAATCAGGCTCATTTTCTTCCTTACCATTTCCTGAACAAGAAAAGAAAAGAATGAATCAAATGTAAACCACTACACAGAAGCTGAAGTCTTAGTGCAAAAAATCTAGCTATATGAGGGGAGTGGTTTTCACCTACATTTTCTATTTTTCAAATCATCTCATCTTTATCTCCTATATTAATATCTTTTCCTCCTGCTTTGAAAAAACAGTAGCAAAGAAGAACCTGCATCTTTTCATACCCAAAGAGTTGATTTTTGACCAGTTCCTTTGTTCCTAATTACCAAAATATCCAAGAAAGTACTCTTCTGGTAAATTATAAATTATGCAACTCGCAGAACCTGTGCATTGTGAACACAATTCTTCTCACTTTAACACCTTGTAGTATTTATGATTCAAAAATCAGTTATATGCTCATTGTTGTTTCAGGATTTATTGAAGAACAAAATATGAATCATCTTAAGAAAACTCACTCCTGAATTTATTCTATGATTATTGCTAATTGCTTTGTTAATTTCACTGCACAGAACCTTTCAGATAAGAAGCCAAAGTAGAAATTATTCTCTGATCTCAGAATGAAGCACTCAAGGGACTGTTTCCCATATCATGATAGCCTTAAAAATGATTTAGAAATTTTGTGATATAGCATATTTAAAACTAAGTAAAAATATAGTGAGCTAGTACTTTAGAAACTAAAAAGTGAATCACTGAATGTGTTAAAAAGAAAAAAGAAATTAAGAACTATTATAACATGAGTTAATTTTTGAAAATAAATATAGAATATTAAGTACCAATGAAAGGACAACATATCAAAACTTACATGAAATAGCTGAAGCAGTGTTTAGGTAGGTTTTAAATGCATTTACAAAAAAAGACAGAAAATACTGACAAAACATAGATTCACATTCAGTCACAGATCCAAACAAACATAAAATTTCAGGAAACTCAAAGTAAGTAGAAAAGAACAAGCCATAAATAAAAATAATAAATAAAAAATAAGGTAAAAAAAGAATAATCAACTAAATAAAATTATTTATTTGAAAAGGACTTAAAAATATACAAACTTTTTTCACTACTAATCCATGGGTAGAAAATAAATAATATTAAAAAGAAAAAGAAACACAGCTAAAAATGCAACTATAATTTTTAAAAAGTAATAAGCAAATACTATCAGTACTTTAAACAAATTTGATGAAATAGAAACCTTTATAAAAGAATTGTAATTATAAAAATTTACTCAAGAAGATGCAGAAAGGCTAACTAGTATAATAACCACTTAAAAAGTTAAAACAATAATCAAAAATATCAGTTCCAGGGGAAAAGGCATCTGGGCCCAAACAGGTTTCCACATAAAATTTTACCACACTTTTAATGAACAAAACCCTTTTGTTATGCAAATTGATTTAGAGAATTTTTCTTTAAAAGTTTATTAACTTATATTAAGTTAATAAAATCCTGACATGAAAACAAAATATAAAATACATGTAAGAAAAATGATAAGCCAAACTCAATAACAAACAGATGCAAAATACCTAAATAAAACAATACTAAGTGCTGCAATGGGGAAAAATGCGTCCAGATTAAGTGGATCTATCTCAAGAATTCAAAGTACGCTCAATGTCAGAAAAAAAATCTATTTCTATGAATTAGCATGTTAACAAATGTTAACAAAATAAAGGACAAATCATATTATCATCTAAACACTTAAAATCATTTTAAAAATTCAATAGTCTATCAAACTGGAAATAAAAGGAAGAAACTGCTTTAATTTATAATAAAGTTTATCCAAAATATCAAGCTAACATTATACATAATGGTAAGACTTCAAATATTGTCTCATTATTTAAGCAAAATAAAAGAATGCATGTTATCTCTATTCTTATCTAACATATATGATATAGCATCTAAGTAAAGGAGAAAAAAAACCCTAGGATTGGTAACAAAGAAAGTAAACTATTATTTACAATATTGTCATTGTCTGTATAGAAAAGTTTTTACAATATTTTTATAATATATACAATTTTACAAAATTTTTACAATATTTACACTATTGTAATTGTCTATATAGAAAAATCAAACTACAGTTAAACTATTACAAATAAGAGTATAATAGGAAAGCTAATATAAGCATCAATAAATTCCATATTCCATATATCAACAATAACCAACTAGACATTGCAAAAGAAGGAAAAATGTCATTCATAATAGCAACAGAAAAGGAATCCTGAAATAAATTGAATCAAAAATACATTTTTATATATTTCACTATATAGTGAAAATTGTACAATCTTATTGAAGAATATAAAACTTAAAGAACCCATATTCATATAGGAGAAAGCTCAATGTCATACTAATGGCAACTATCTTTCAAGTCAGTCCACAAATTTAGCACAAATCCAATAAAATTGGAGAAGGATATGTGTATGTATATGTTGAGTATAAATATGTGTATGTTGAAAATCTAGAAAATACAAATCTGAGAATAATAAAGATAATTTTATAAAAGAAAAACTGGCTGAGGGCATTTTCTCTACCAAACAGCAATGTGTATTATATTTAAATTAATCAAACCATGTGAATTTGCATAGGATAGACAGATAACTAAAGAGGAAAGCAATACAAAAACAGACTCAAGCACATAAGGCACTTGCCATATTATAGAGGTGGCACTGCACATCAGTAGGGAAAATACAAAATAAATGGGAGTAGGATGATTGGTTCTCCTGCCCTCCACACAAATTTATCCCTAATTCATGTATAACAAGATCAAAATATTAAAAATAAAAGAAACCATTTTAATATCTCAATGTGGGAATGAATTCAGAGTTATGAAAGTATTACTTACACAAGAAAATACTGATAAATGTGAACATTCAAAAAATACCAACATTTTTTTTTGTGGGGGTGTTACTAGAGATTGAACCAAGGGTTTTACACTTGCTGAGCAAGTGCTCTACCACTAAGATACATCCCTAACCCTTTTTCATTTTTACTTTGAGACAGGATATCACTAAATTGTCCAGGCTGGCCTCAACCTTGTGTGCCTTCTGCCTCAGCTTCCCCAGTAGAGCTGGGATTACAGAGTAACTGGGATTGCAGGAGTGCACCACTGCACCCAACCTATCAATAATTTTTTTTTTAAATCACCATGGAAAAGTAATAGAATAAACAATGGAATATACCTTTTAAAAATCTTAAACTTCAAATAAGCCAATACAAAAAAAAATGATCAGAGGACATAAAATTGGTTATCAACTTAGCTGCAAGTTATAAAAAACAACTTTTGCCAATTTGAGAATGAATACGATTTACCACATGTCCCCTGGGCAGCTCCCATAACCTCAAAAAGGCTGAGAAATAAGATGTGGATCTTTTGAATGTTTCAAGTACACATCTAACATCCCTGATGCTGGGCACTAAAACTGCAAGTTACCCTTCATAGCTCTTGACATTGAAGGTCATTTACCACTATTGCTTCATGCCAAAATTAAGAGGATGGGGGATTCTGTAACCCTATAAAGAAGCTACAAAGGCTAAGAAGTCTAATTAAAAGTTAAAAAAAGAAAGAAATTATAAGCATTATGAACAAGTAAATAAATATACAAATGTTATGGCTGAGATATGAGGTGTACCTCAAAAGTTCATGTGTGAAACACATAATTCAAGTTCAGAGGTGAAATGATTAGAGTTGGGAGAGCCTTAACCTAATCAGTGCATTAAGCTATTTGAATGGGGTTTAATTGGGTGGTAACTAGGTAGGTAGGGTGTGGCTAAAGGAAGTGAGCCATTAGGGGTTTGTTTATATATGTATGCATATATAAAATATATATACCTTTGGGGTTTATACTTTGTCCTTTATCTACAGAGTTTCTCTCTGTGTCTGGTACAAATTCTCTCTCTCCTTCCTGGTATCCTAGTGTACAGAGTCTCTCCTCACCCTTCCACCATGATGTTCTGCCTCACCTTGGGCCTACAGCAAGGGAGTCGGCCATTTATGGACTGAGACCTCTGAAACCATGAGCACCAAATAAACTTTCCTTGTAAAATTGTCTTTTGGCCTAAACAGCTAACTAAAACAAGAAAGTAGAAAGCCAGACACAGCCTGGGTCCCTATACTTCTTGGAGCAAAACCAGCATTCTAGGCTTGTTCTACCTACCTGAGGCTTCTATGTGGGAAATGAATAAACTTAACATTCTATAAAGCCACTAATATTTTAGTTCTACTATTCACACCTGTATTTAATCCCAACACCACACACACACACACACACACACACACACACACACACTTCCAATGGGCTTTCAAAGTGGTCTAGAGGATTTCAGGAATTAATTTATTCTCCTACTTTTGAAAGTAATCTCAACCCTTTCCTACTTGCCTAAGCCTTTAAATACCCCCATATCTCCTCCTCATTATCAGCAGATGATTGGTCTATACTTTACAAATTAAATAAAGCTATTCCCTTATTTATTGCTACACAACAGACCAATCCACCATCTCTGCACACACCTTATCTTCCTTTTCTAATAAAATAACACAACAACCACTCCTCCAATCTGGGATTCAGATCCCTCGCCATATTCTGCCTTTTTCATTTCTTCCTACATAAACTCTCCTTCTCACAAAAAAATGTTCCTTCAACCCCACAACATCCTCTAGATATCAACCCATTTCTTCTCTTTCCCTCTCCCTCTCCCTCTCCCCCTCTCTCTCTCTCTCCCCCCCTCTCATTTCCTGAGAGTTGTCTCAACTATTTATTTTATCACCTCCCACTTAGTCCTCATCCCACTGTAACCTACATTCAGTCTAAACATACTACTAAAATAGTTCTCTATTAAGTTACCAATAATCTCAGTTATGTTACTATCTTGCTTCAAACTTTTTTGAACAAATGGCTTTTTTAAAGTATTCTCAGCAGTATATCAAATTGTTGAACATTACCTCCCTATTAAAATATATCTTACCTTGGCTTTTGTGGGACACCACTTCTGATTTTCCTGTCATCCCACTATAGCTCACTGTCTATCACCTTTGCCATATTTTCTTCTACCTAGGCATTAAAAGATGTAATTCTAAGAACTCCTCTCATCTCAAGTTGTTCAGTATCTCTTTGGATGGTCTGTTTCATCTTTACTCATCTTTAATTATACTGACATAATTACATGAATCACAAATTCTATCTCTGGAACAGACATGTCAACTATTGTCTGCATAGAAAACTCCTTACTACATTGCTCCACTTAGATGTCTCATGAATTGATATGTCTAAATTGATATGTCTAAATCTGAACTAATGATTTCTACCACACAATAACCATCAGCACCAACAACTAACCTTTCCATTGTTTTTTCCTCAATGAAAGATATGCCAGTATGCATCAAGTTATACAACTTAAGAACTTAGAAATCCTTAACACATATAATTTAACTCCAATGTGCAATCTGCCACTGATCTTGTTTTGACCTCCTAAATATCATTTTCACTCTTAATGTCCCTACTACTATCCAACATTTGTCCTTTGATTAATGCCACAGTCTCTTAACAAGCCTCTCTATTTGTACTCTTGCTATCCATTCAATATATTATCAACAGGGAGGTAGAGAAAGAAGAGACAGAAGAAATAGAAAAGAATTCTAAATATTAAGATTTTTTTTATTTTACTTAAGACATAAAAGACAAAATGAAAATGTTATAAAGGAACAGAATGAAAGTTCAGTGGTAGAAAGGAATCCAATAGAAAGACTAATACTAAACAATGTAACAATTGAAACTAAGATATAAATTGTGTGCTTAAAAGCAGAACAGATATAACTAAAGAGAGAATTAATGAACTAGAAAAAGTCAGAAGAAACATGGAGTGAGAAATGAAAAATACAGAAGAGAGGGAAAGATGGAGAGGAAAGGTCTAACTAGGTAAAACTGGAATATTAAAAGGAGAGGGGAGAAACAATGAGAAACAAATAACAGGATTTTAAAAAGACAAATCATCTTTAAAGAAGCAATAATCAGGCTAAAGCTAACTTGTCAACAGCAAGAATAAAAACCTAAAAACACTGTTGAAATAAAGTAACTGCCAAATTAGAATTTGTGCCAGGGAAAATGTCTTACAAGAACAAAGATTAAAACATATATATTTGAAGATCTATCAAAACTGAAAAACCCATATGTAGCAGATATGCTCTAATATAAATATTAAAGGCTATTTTCAAATAAAAGGAAAAAAAACTCACATGAACAAACATGTGAAAAGGCATGTATATGAAAGAAACAGTAAATGTATATGAAAGAAATCGTAAAGACATAGGTAAAACTAATTACTATCTAAATTAATGATAATATGATGATAAGAAGTATATGGAATTAAAATAGGATATGTACATGGCATGTAAGTTGGAAGAATGGGCAAAGAAAATAAACTTAAAGGTACTGAGGCCTGCATTGCCTGGTGGTTGATAAAAGATGGTATATCACTACATATCCTAAAGACATAAGCAGATAAGAAAATATTATTAAAACTTTATGTTAATGGAATTGATCATTTAGGAAAATATATTTCTTTTAAAATAAATTACAAACACAGACACAATAAAAATAGAAAATCTGAACAACAGATTGAATTTGCATTTTAAAAACCTTGTAAAAGAAAGTCAAACCACCTCAGGCCTGTACGACTTCACTTCTACTAAACATTTTGGAAATAAATAATACCAATTCTACACAAACTGTTTTAGAAAATAAAGAAAGATGGAGAACTTCTCAAAACATTTTATGACATCAAAATTACCCTGTTATCAAAAAACATACAAAAATTATACAAGAAAAGCATATCAATATCCCTCATAAACATATCAAAAAAAGCAGTCTTTTAATTCTTGATGCTAATTCAATTGGATATCCATATTCAAAATTCAACTCTAGAAGGATCATAGATTTAAAATTGAAAGATTAGGCAATAAAGTTTTAGAGTAAAATACAAAAGAATATCTTCATGAGCCATGCTGTATCATTGAAGTAGTAGTAGTACTCATTGGTGTAGTACCATATAAATCCTACTTATGGACTAAGATGACTTGAGCAATGACCAGAATCAGGAAGACTCTGACTCCCTGGCAAAATGTAAGAGTTGGAATGGCTCTACACAGATTTATATAGCATAAGGAGTAAGAGATATAATTACTATGAAAGATGTATGCAATGATGTAACTACTTGTTAGATAGTAATATAGCATTTGGGAGCTATGTAGCTTTGTCATTTTATTCACACAAGACATGGTACAAAACAGACTTCCCAAAGACTCCTTCAAATAACTCTAGTGACTATTTTAAGTTTATTAACAGGTAGACATGAATTTGGAGGGTCTTACAAAGTACAAGATACAAATGTGACCCTCTCTCAAATACACAAGTGGGAAGGCCAAAAAGAATTGCCGCTTAAGCAAATATAAGGCACCAAAGATGAACCACCACAAAGAAAAAAGTGGTCTGTTTTGGCAAAAATATTTACCACCACAAGAATTATGTAACAGTTACAGGAATACTCTTCCAGGACAATCAGGAATGGAAAGTGAGAAGCGTAAACCCTGGGCCAGTTGACATGGGCCATACGAAACCCTGGGCAAGTTGACATGGGCCATATGTACGTGGTTCTGCATACTTTAGAATATTGACCTGATGGGAAAAATCACCAGAAATCTTAGGTCATCATAATTAGGTTTTAAGGATTATAAAACATGAAGAAGGCTGAGGATCCTTACATAGATTTTACCAATGGATCATCAAAGCAAATAAATACTAAATAAATATGTGCATTCTATCATTTGTCCATATCATAAAGGATGACTTTTTATTTTACAAGTATTGGTAGACTCAAGCATTTATTTATCTAGTCTTAAAACAGAAAGCCAGGATTAGGATTACTAAATACCCCAAGCAAATTTCTTGGGGTTTGGCAGTTTGAGTCATCTAATCATAGAACTATTATGAGTGACGGAGGTGGGGAGGAGTGGAGAAAAAGCATTTACTTCATCAGCATCAGAAGAGCTTCCCCTAGATTAAGCTTTTGATTCAGGGGTGCCCTACACTACTGTGGTTAAAATCTGTTTTTTTTATTGGTTGTTCAAAACATTACAAAGCTCTTGACATAGCATATTTCATACATTAGATTCAAGTTGATTATGAACTCCCAATTTTACCACAAATACAGATTGCAGAATCACATCGGTTACACATCCACATTTTTACATAATGCCCTATTAGTGACTGTTGTATTCTGCTACCTTTCCTATCCTCAACTATCCCGCCTCCCCTCCCCTCCCATCTTCTCTCTCTACCCCATCCACTGTAATTCATTTCTCTCCTTGTTTATTTTCCCATTCCCCTCACAACCTCTTATATGTAATTTTGTATAACAATGAGGGTCTCCCTCCATTACCATGCAATTTCACTTTTCTCTCCCTTTCCCTCCCACCTCATGTATCTGTTTAATGTTAATCTTTTCTTCCTGCTCTTCCTCCCTGCTCTGTTCTTAGTTGCTCTCATTATATCAAAGAAGACATTTGGCATTTGTTTTTAGGGATTGGCTAGCTTCACTAAGCATAATCTGCTCTAGTGCCATCCATTTCCCTGCAAATTCCATGTTTTTGTCATTTTTTAGTGTTGCGTAATACTACATGGTGTATAAATGCCACATTTTTTTTATCCATTCATCTATTGAAGGGCATCTGGGTTGGTTCCACAGTCTAGCTATTGTGAATTGTGCTGCTATGAACATCGATGTGGCAGTATCCCTGTAGTACGCTCTTTTAAGGTCTTCAGGGAATAGTCCGAGAAGGGCAATAGCTGGGTCAAATGGTGGTTCCATTCCCAGCTTTCCCAGGAATCTCCATACTGCTTTCCAAATTGGCCGCACCAGTTTGCAGTCCCACCAGCAATGTACAAGAGTACCCTTTTCCCCACATCCTCGCCAGCA